TGATAGCATTAAATATGAATGTAAATATTCTCAAACCAATCATTGATAACTTCTCATGACCTCCGTTGTAATCACACTACGATATTTGATACGGTGATCTGAGGTATTGCTGTATTTGACTTTATTCCTCCTGCAAGGACTGGAGGGAACCGTTTGAAAATACTGGAGAGATGATCAGCAAATAATTCGACTTTGTCCCTGTTACTTCAAGACCATATGCCATATGATTTACGTAGTAGCGTGTATGTGACTGCTTCATTTGAGGTTTCAGTGAGTGATAGGTTGCTGAGGTAATTGTAGGGTTCATCATTCTTCTGTCTTTTAAGAAGTTCATATATATATATATATAATAAATATACAGATGCTTTTTGTTCATCTATTAATTAACGTTTTCAGTTTGCTAATTCCACATTGATGGGGTTGATGATTGAATAATTTCATTTCCTCATGAATATATACATTTATATACCTAGATATAAAAAAGGTTTATTCGTTTTATTGTTTGGCATTTGGATTGATTTTCTATTATTTGCTTGCTGGATTATGGAATTCGAGGGATTTGTTTGTCGGTAATGCTAATTTAATGTGACTGGCGTCCCGAGCGCTCTATTCCCATTCATGAATTCGTTCGAGTGATATTAATTCGCGCACGTGGACCCATTTTATATGATATATGGTACGAGAAGTGATTCCACTCGGAAAAGTTGAACTGCAACATCCTCTCGCACTAACTTGCATTTGCATTCAAATTGACGGAATGTAAAACGTTCGAACTGCTTTGACAAATATTTGTAAAAGGTATTTCCTGACATTATACGATTACAGTTTATTCAAAGATATTATTTCATTTAACTGAAGAAATATTATAATTTCATTTACTTTTACGTTTATAACTTAAGTGCACTCAAGTTATGTATGATTTATTTACATTGGTTTACATTACAGTTGTTAGCAAACTTCTAAGTTTCCACTCAATAAATTTTATGTAGAATTGCTGTAGATAATATTAACTAAAAGGGTTCTGCAATTCATTTGAAATGTTTCAAATTTATATAAAATATATAAAAATATATTAAAAATTACTTATAAGCAAGTTTAGTAATATTTTTAATAAAATTCACTGTTTTATAAATCAATTTGAGTTGAGTAATTAATTACTAAATTAAGGAGAACATTTTGGAATTAACTAACTTTACAAATTAGCAGGAAATTATAAACGTGTTTGTAACTTTGAGTTCAAATGCAATTATATGAAGTTTATGTATTTACCTAAGTAATTATCGCTAAATATTTAAAGAAGAAAAGAAATAAAGAAGAATATAAAATCTTTACATAATTTTATTTTAAACTATATATTGATAAAATATTTTCAAATCATTAATCTTGTATTGTCCTTTATTATTCATTCATGCGCAATAACTCGAAGAGTGTTATTATAATACGTTCGGATTCTAGGAGGAATCATATGTTATGTATTAGTATCATCATAATTGATATATTTCTATAATAAATGTGGAAGATACATTAACAAATATAGAATTCAATAATCTTAATGGAAAATCTATTTCAAATGATAGTAAATAATTGAATAAGACATTTTTGGGCACTATTTTATTCATATTAGTATTTCATAAGTATAGATCGGCCTTGAGGAAAACAATGATGAAAAAATATTTTTAAAACATCAAGCATAGATATTTACATCCTCCTCCTTTTAAAGTAACAATATATTAAAAATGGTATTGTAAATGTAATTTTTTATTAAGAAATTTGACGTTCTACGCTACTTTCTTAACCACTGTAGTAATTATTATTAAGAGTAGGTTAACAAGTTGTATATAAGATTTATGGTCATTATGCTTTATAAAGTTGATAACATTATTGTTTTATATAGGGATAATAACGGAAATCCTTACTGTAAAGTATTATAGTACAGGAATCGGCTTCGGAGCCTCATGCGGTTCTTTTGATGAGAAATTGCGGCCACCAGCTTCCACTCCGAGTAAACTTGCGGTGGTTGTGTTGCTAAAATTCATTTCACTAGCAAACATGATGATCGTAGTTCAAATATGGTTCTTAGCTCCAAAAAGGTTTCTGACTCATAATAGAAATAGAGTAAATAGTCATCAAAAATACCGAGATTATATAACTGGTTCTTTGGTACTAGTATTGATATTGTAAAATGTACATTTAATATAATTAAATTATTAAGTACTTTTGGTTTTTTATATTTTCAAATTTTGCTCGACAATAGTTTGCCATGTTTCTGGCAACTTCATGATTCATAAAACTACTAGTTTCAAACAAAATTAAGCTCAATTAGCTTGCAAAGGATAATCATAACATTAACAGAAGTCCTTCAAAACTTATGTGATTCCAAAAATAATTGAAACATCAATTGTTCAATTATTTGAATTGTGTTCAAGATGAATCTATACAGATCGACAATATTGCCTATCGTATTCCTAGGTAGGCCCCGACGGTATACATCGTAATGTATCCTTAATTACTTAGGTAATCCCATATTATTCACGTAAACACGTGTCCGAGCTGCGATAATAATGTATACAATGGCAAGCGGCGTACATAAAGGTAATGAGATTACCGGTGCTTAATGGACCGAATGAGAAGAATTACAGGGTGCAGCCTGTGCAATTAATATCCAATGTAAAACTCTCACCCGTAACGAAATTAAATTGTTTTCATTAAATTAACTATAATAATTCGATGCGGCTCTGCTTCGCTCCCTATACATATCCCAAAATTCATTTACGTATGAAAGCACAAAATAGAGTTGGCTTAAGGTTATAATGAACATTATAATTCAATAATACTAGCCACTTTGATTCATAAATTACCGGAAAATACCGTTCTGATTTATTTGCGCAAAAAACTCATAAACAAATGTTTTTTTGAGAAAACTATTTTAAATATATCTTTCTCATATCTACAAATTTGTTCATGTTTGCAATTATTATTTTGAAAAATATATTTAGAACTTATATACAAAATACAAATACTTATATACAAATAACAATATACAAAAAAATGCTACTTTAGAATAAGTACATTTTTTTTAGTACCAAACCATACTAATATTATGAATTAAAAATTATGTTAAAATTTAGTTCTTAAACAGTAAAATTTAATCAATTAATCAAAATCAATCAAGCAATTAATTCAAATTTAATTTGTGCCATAAGTTTTGTATGACACAAATTAAATAATAACGATCAACTACGTACTGATAACTTTTGTTGTTACATTGGCAGCACGTGCATATAGGAATAAATATGCCACATGCGACCATTGCTCGAAAAATATTATTCTGTCACCACTGTCATAGTTGTAGAAAATGTACTTCGCAAAATTGCATCAATCGGCTTTAAAAGGTCAATCAGTAAAATTAAATATAAACCCTCAGAAATAAATTATACTGATATTAATATTTGTAAATTTAATAATAAATGCAAATTATAATATAATATGAAATTTAAGAAAAAATAAGTTCATATTCGCTTTTTACAGTTTACAATTTCAATAACACACATATTTGTATTCAAATGGAATATATTGATTTCTAAAGTTTTCATAGAAATATTCCAATAAGTCGAACTTCTAAAAATATACATTTATTTAGGTCAACAATAACCGCAAATAAAAAAGTTTGTAGCAAATATTCAATATTATTTTGAAAGCAACTATGAAACTTTAAGTCTCATTGTTTCTAATTGGTGTTATTTTGGTTTATTATAGTTTTCATTTTTTGTCATCTATATTGCTTTTATTTAAGTCTGCAAGTGCAGTCGATTCAGTAAATCTTTAGTTTTCATTTAATTGTCGTTCATTTTATTATTTCCTTCTTTGGAAATGTTTTAAGCTATAATAGAAATATTCTCAGTTTTTTATTTTCATGTATTTATTTTTCATTTAGCGCAATGTTGACTTAAATAGTTTATAGGTGTCCAACCTTTTAACTTCCCTGTACTACGATTTGTTTTGAATATCGTGTTGTTCAAAAAGTTTGTGCCATTTTTTCACGAAATTATGTAATTAAACTTTCTTCATCTTTGACACAACTTAAACATTCCATCTTCACAGAATTTATTAGATTTTTTTGTCAAAAATCCTGGTGCTTTTTATGTCGACTATTAAAAGTTCTTATAATTTTGCAAAAATCCGAATAAGTGGAAGTTGTTCTATTTGATTAATACTGGAGTAGTAAAAGAAACATCAGGTCTAGTTTCTGTTGTCGTGATTTGTGTCCGTTAAATTATGCGAAACTCATCGTTATGTAGTGCGGGCTATTCTCGATCAATGTGTTGAATTTATCCTTAGTAGAAGACGTTTAAGGCTGAAATCACCAGCACAAAACTTTGCGAATTATATTACATTCACACTGTTCTTTTATCTTTCCAGTAATAAAAAAGTATACAAGTTTAAAATACATTGTTTTCCTTTCATCTTCAAAAGGATACTAAACTGAGGCAAATTATTTAATCCGACCAAAACTTTTTTAAGACAGTTAAATTGTCATCTTTCAGAGACACAAGTCAATTTTTATTATCAATATATTTATGCATCGCTAATGGTAGCAAAAATCAGTATAAACATTCCGGGCTACCAAATATACTAGTAGATAAAACATATTACATTTATATAAGGATATTCTTATTAATTTTGTTGATATGTCCAATATTTTGAAGTAGGGCAGAAAGTGTTTCAACAGTTAATCTTTTTTGGTTTAATATCATTGTTTTAAATGAACATTATTTTTTGACCGTTGTAGCTATTATTCATTTATTTAATTAAATAATAAAATTTTAGTCATTTAATAATGCCAGTATAAATATAAAACATTTGGTTTGTTGTAGAATATGATGTAAGAGATAATTGCAGTTTACTAGAAGCATCTTGAAAACATATTTTGTTAATATTGAGCACAATTGAAATGTTATTTTCTCCAGTTTGATCAATAAATTGTATTTTTCAATTTTCAGGTGGGCTGTTCCATCCAGCCGATGATAAACAAGAAGTTGCATTCCGCTACGCGGTCGAAAAGATCAACAATGACAGGTCAATTTTGCCGCGCTCCAAATTGAGCGCGCAAATTGAAAAAATGTCACCTCAGGACAGCTTTCATGCATCGAAGAAAGGTAAGCGCTTAAATATTATCTACAATGTTATATAGACCATTTAAAAATAGTTATAGACCGCATACAATGGTTACAATATACACATAGCTATAATCGTAACTAAATAATTTATATCATTTTTTTATAATTATAAAAGGATAATTAGTAGAATGTAGAATGATAATCAGTAGAACTGCAATGCGCCAGACACAGAAATGTAGAGTGGGATGATTCTATAAAATCTTCTTTTTTTAATAATTTTCAAAAAAAAAGTGAAGTGAATTTGTTAAAATACTAATATTTTACCTCTTTTTATTTTGTCAACGTAGCTATTTTACTCGTTTTAAATTAAATCGCGATTGATAATTAAATTAATTTCATTACCCAATGAAAATTCTCATTTTAAGTGGAAGTCAAATATGTGCTATAATATAACAGTAATTTGAAGTGCTTCATCGTTGAATCTAAGTTCTCTTTAAATTTCTTAGATACATTTGCGATTACCTCTTCGACCATTTGAACTAAACGTGCTTGGATAATAATAATGTTCTTGGACATTCTAGTTTAATCTCATATCTAATTATATACTTAAATGCTTTACTATGATCGATTTATTTATTTCTCCGATGTATGATAGAACTCATTCTGGACAAAAATTGTCATTACAGCAAAATTTAATTTTTCGTCGCAGAAGGAATACAGGATCATCGATCAGAATTCGATATTTTCAATTGTTATTCCCAGTTGGAGGTCTTACGGGTACAGAAATTAAGTCGGCCAACCTAGGCCAACGGATTAACATAAAAGCAACCGCTCACGGCTGTCCCATAAATCCACATATACTTTATGGATTGCAATTTGCAAAGCTCGCACAAACCAGCAATCACGTAAATATATGTCGAAACTATCGCGTATGGGGGTAGTACATAGACAATAAATGAAACTTGATACAATGTCTGAGCTATTTCCAACAATGTCGAAAGATGTGTTATAATATTTTGAATTACTTTTGGGTTATGCAGATAATTCAACATGTTAATACCATGACTATATTACACTTACTGTATGTGTACTATACATACATACATTTTTACATAAAAGTTAATGTATAAAAATATAAATTTATTTCAATAATATACCATGTTATGTTTTAATATTGGATGCAGAATATGTGTGACAATTAAGAAATAAATATCTGCTAGGAACATTAACTACTCTTGACAATTATGTATACTGATGATAGTTAAACTGACCAAGCTCATTGAACTTATGGTTTTTATCAGCAAAAATCTGAACTAGGTCTAATTTTACAGCGTTATCTTCATTGAAGGTTTTGCCATTCAAGGAATTTTGTAAGTCCTTGAACAAATGGTAATTCGATGGCGGTATAAGGCAGATGTGACATCACTTCCCAACCAAACGTCAATAACTTTTGGCGAGTGACTAAATATGTATGTAGCCTAGCGTTGGCATAGTGGAATACAACACCATTACAATTTACCAATTCTGGCCGTTTTTCTTAAATTTCTTTACACCATGAACTCCTTCTTTCCATGTTATGATAAACTATCAATTTTTTATCACCAGTTATTAGCCCATTTAAAAAAAGTTCAATTTCATATCGTTTGAGATGCAAATCGTAGATATTAATGCGTTGAATTAAATGAATATCATTTAATTCACGAGGAACCCAAGTTTTTTTTTAATAAATCCCATATGTTTTCAATTGTTGTGTGCGATACATTTAACCTTTCTACAATCTCTCGGAGAGGAATATGATGATCCGAATAAATTATGGCTTTGATTTGATCATCACCTTCATTTCGTCTACCAGATCGACGTTCATCTTTAAGTGAAAAATCACCAGAACGAAATATATCAAACCAATTCTGGCGCTGATTTTTTTTTATCTGTATGTAAACTTTTATATTAATAATAGATCAAAAATAAACTTATAGATTTGTTGTTATGATTTGAAGTTTATCGGTAAAGAAAGAACAACTATAATCTTGTGTATTAACTGTATTAACTCTTTGGACATGTGACATTGTCGGTCGACTTGAACATTTGCACTACTACTACTAAGCGCGTTACTTAACGGCATCTGCCGGTGTGTATGGTACGTTGCAGCTTCTATTACCATTCTAACAAGATTCAGTGGTGAAGATACTGAATAGTAATGTTCTGAAATGTGGAAGGTCCTCGAATGTGGGGACCCTCGCTTTGATCAGGGGCGGCAGAGACGGATTTAGTCATGGTACAAAAATGAACTTAACTAAACCAAAATTAAGTAACATAGAGCCCACAAACAATGTAAGTTAGGACCGTATTAAGGTTTTCCTAAAATCTCGTAGACCCTAATATTTCTTGTGGCCTTGGTGTATAAGAAATAAGACCCTCGTTATAATATATTTATGCAGAAAATCTGTGAGAATTTGAAATCCTAATGATGTCGACACTCCCATACCCCCTTGTCGTGTACTGTCAAAAGTTTGGCTAAGTAAACGGAAAACAACAAGGTAGGGGGCCCTCCGATCATGTCAGAGGAAAGATCCAATATTTTTAGTTTTGTCAATATATAGATTAATAATATTATCAAAAATAACTTAGTCCATGAAAAAAACTTTTCTACCGTAGTCAATAAATTGTTTTAAAGGAAACTTGTAAGATATAATCGTAGTATACATAATATACTCATATTTTTAAGTATTTTTGTCTAAACTTAGAAAATAGTTGAATTGTATTTCAATTATTGGAACTGAATATACATCTATTAATAATGTTTTTCTATACTGAGAAAATAGTCCATATTGAATGTACAAATCATGTTTTAATAACAGGCAATTTCTTTGCAGGAGTTTAAACATAGAAGTACATCTGCTATAAGAATGTAAAATTTGAATTGAATCAACATTTTTATTTTCAACTTTATCAAATCTTTCATTGTAAATTTTTCTCAACATTCATATTTCCTTCGAGTATTTGTTAGTAATATCTTTCTATACTTGAAAATCGCACCAATTTGAATGTAAAAAATTGTATATCCAACTAGCAATTTACAAACATAAAACATAGGGATCCGTGTACAAACATAAAATCTGAATTAGAGTTTTCAACAGAAATAAAACAAGCATATAAAAACAGTATCAACATTAGTATACAATATTTATTGCTGCTGGGTCAACGAGTAAATTGTATTATCTATTATTCGTGATATTTTTCCTCTCCGGGCATACCACATACACAATGTTTTACAATTACCCAACTACCATTTTTTTTACTATATACAAGTACAAATGTATTCCATTTTTATAACAATATTTTTTCATACGCAAACGAATTTTATAGCATTTAATTAATATACTATTTGCCAATACCGAGCATGGAAATATTTTTGCTGACAGGATAATCCGGACATCCGGTATGTAAATAATTGCCTGTGAATCACATTTATTTTGGCCAGATAATAATAGATTCGTAACATGTTGTTGGCTATGACAAACGAGCACAAACTGTCTGTTTTCCCACGGAGATGCAGTTCAATAAATATTTTCTATAGTCCATAAAATCAGACTTAAGATTGCCATTTTTTTTTCCAAGTTGGAAAAATATGGAAATTCAATTTATTCAGTAGCTGATCTATTGGCAAACGTGGCGCCCTTGTTTTCCTTGAAAAGGCATATTGCTGATATTGAAATCGAAAACAGATGTTGCTACACTATTTTACGCATATTAAATATATTATGCAATATTCAATATTAAATTTAATATAACTTCTTTCAATTTACTGACATGAATATTTCTACGGAGTACCAAGTTCTATTGCTTATTATGATATACTAAACTCAAAAACAAATGAAATTATATACTGTATTGATATATATAAATACAGTCATACTTCGGTTAAAGTTATCTCTGGTTAGGAAGCCTCGATATAAAGATCTTCGCAAAAATACAATTTAAAATTATTAAACATATATATTAATTAAGGTTTTATTGAATAAATTATTAACTATACTACACTCTTGGATATAATTTTATGGAATTCAAGCTATTCGTTAAACGAGGTATAATAACAAACTAATATTTGTACGTCTAACATGCCAATATTATTACCAAAATTACCGGCAAATTTTGACAAAAAATACTGGTAATTTCAATAAAATGATATTGCCGAATCTGGTCGGTAATATGAATAATTAATTATTGTTTGTTAATATATTAAACTTATTTTGTATTTGTTCTTGTTAATTATTATCTGAATAGCACAAAAGATAGTTTGTTAAGAAATAATAAATTAAACATATGAATGTTATTAATATATTCAACATTTATTAAAACTTAATATGTTATTGTCAATTATCCCTTTGTACATACTATAAAAATGCTGCTTGCTAATAAGTAATTATAACAATAAATTATAAATTTCTTGTTAACTCTCAATACATTACTCGATTAACTCATATACTTTTAAATTTTATATATAAAGATCCATAACTTATACTAATTACATTTATACTACATTTATATATACATAACATATACATTTATAAATAATAAAATATTTTAAGGAATAAATTTTATTCAAAGGTGCATTTTTTGTTGAAAGTACAATTGCTAAGTTGAGTGGAACTAAAATAAATCCCCATAAAGGACTGAAATACTTGTTTATCTGGTAGGGATCTCAACTATGAGCGAGTTTCATGATAATTTATGTGCAAGGAGCTTTTCTTATCGACTTTGTGAGATTTACCTGAGCTTCGTAAACTTTGCTGTTAAGATTAAATGCGTATAAAATTTGTTATATATATGATAATTATCTTTATTGCAACAAAAAAATCATAATTAAATATTTTCCAAAAAAATCCAGTAATATGAGATAAAAAGAATGACAGAAATGAATTATATATTACGAGACATTAAATATTGGAATAAGATTATAGTTAGGTATTTGCCTTTATTTCATTATTTAATTAATATTTTAATTGGAATATTATATCTTTTGTGCAGATATAACTTTG